TGGCATTAGTTCAATGATACCAAGCCAGAAAATAGTACGTTAAATAAAGTAACATTAAATGAAGCTGTTTTGTACAACACTACCAAAAGACTGTAATTTACTTTTAGATATTGTCATACTAACACCTTTTATAGGGAATATTAATACAGCTATTAAAGACAAAAGAGCAATACAGAATTCAGCATAGTGTCATACTCTATTCTGAGCACAGGTTACATTGTCACTCTAGCAAACTTTCTTTATAGAAACACAAGGAACTGCTGCTATATACCAATGCTAGAGGTTACAGAACACAAAGCCTTAGTTCAAATCTAGTAACAGAAGCACATGCTCTCAAATGTCAAAAAGATACATCTTAAACCATGAGTATTAAACTTAATCCTAAAAGCACATAATATACTCAGTGGCTTACTGTCCGATGTTATTGCTCCTTTTGCCTGTATTGATCGAAATCACACATCAGATTATCTCAACTGTGATTTGTGCTTTTAGCAATTTGATCTCACACATTTTATCCTCACTTATGGTAAGATGTAACCAGAGGAACATAGACACTATCAGGACTAGATGAGAATATGCAAATAAAGTACCTCTTTATGGGACATATCTTATGCCAGTGACAAAAGTATTCTCAAGTAATTCACAAAATCCTGGGCTCATATATATTCACCTAAATCAAAAGACTAGGAAAACCAGAACTAAATATCCATATAACTTTCAGGATTTGTCAGTGCAAGGTTTGGAAAAATTTAACTGCTGAAACTGACACAGTTGCATTACCACTGAGAATATCTGTAATTATACTTTCACAAGGCCTTTAACACAAACCCAACTGCACATATATGCTTAAGCCTCGCTAGCATAGTTGTGCTGAGGGCATAAAAAGCAGTATCTACAAATACATAATGCTGGAAATAGTCCTTGTACAGTGCAGTTATACCAAAAAACATAGTATAATCCACATTATATCATACATATAAAATCAGAAAAATTTTTTTAAGAGTAGTGTGTATATATCCATACTTGATAAATTTTACGGAACTGCTACACTGACAAGCACTTTTATATAGTTAGCAGAGTCTAAATAAAAGCAAGCAACCACTTCAAACCTCCAAGTTCATTTATCAGTGAAAACGAATAATGCTTCAAGCAAGTTCAAGAGTGGTGAGCCAGGTACCAGAGCAAGAGTAAGGCAGCAGCAGCAGCCCTAGCTTAGATCAACATAAATTGCCAAGAAACCTCACCTTGATTGTAAGGTGAAAAGAACACAGGACACACTTTCAGACTGCGACTTAATCACTGCATTTGTCCATTGAGCTAGAGTACAAGTACGAATAGACATCATGTCTTCACTGTCATCTGGGCTTTAAAACTCCAGTTTTATAAAAATCTGGTAAATTGAGTCAAGTTACGTCACTGTGCCCCTTTCAAATTCCTAACAGATACTTACAAATAATCTAGAATCCAAGAATAAAATTACATCAAGCCTATTAATGGAAACCTCATATGGCACACTGTTAAAAGGATCTTACAATTTCTTCCTCTGCCACACAGTAACTCAGCGGAACTTAGGACCTCGTGTATCATTCATTATCTTCACTTCAACCTTTCACAGTGCTGGCAGCATTTGTTCCTTTGCTTCTTAAACTTCAAGACTAAAATACTAAAGAAACAACTGTTTGTTGTTTTTTTTCTTTTTTTTTTCCCCCTGCCTGAAATCCCTCCTTGTCAAAATATAAACACTAACACTCAAACAAGCCCCACCACACAGATGCACATTCAAGCATCCAGCATCTGCTCAACTCACTGCTAAACTATTTCTCTGCTGCTAGCCAGTGAAAAACTCCAACCACACACAAGGTAGACTGGGATCTCTGGAGTTACTGCTGGCATTATAACCTCAGCAATATGGACTTGGCAAAAAGTCCTGACTGTAGTTTTGATAAAGGCATGAACTCACAGTTGTGAGCCTTCCCTGATCACCAGACAATGCTGATGAAGGAACTGCAGCATTGCCCAACACTGACATAATCACGAGTAAGTGTCCTTTTTTCTGTGAAGCAAAGTGTACAAGTTCACTGCAAGAAAGTATCTTCACATGTTGATGGCATAAAGCAACACTTCTCCATCCCTCAATTTCACTGCTGCATACCAGTGACTAACTTTGAAAACAACAGCGTTTTAAAGAAACAGCATTTTCTAAAAACAACCCCCAGAATTACGCTGATCTTCTCTGGATCACTGTTTCAAGTGCTAAGGTTTTAAGACAGGCTGGAAGGTGGTACACAGAACTGTGAACCGGTATATGAAATGAGAAGACAGGGGTTTGAACACGGGAACTGTAACAAATTGGCTCTTGGCTCTAATATCTCCCCCTGCAGCAAAAGGCGAGCGAGTACCCCACATGTAGTTCACCGGAAAGCCTATCTCAGAACAGATAGCACCATTTGCTCATGTAAGGCATTGAAACAAGGACATATGACAAAACTGGATGAAAAAAATGGAGAATAGTGTTTTAAGGCTACCACCTTCATAGTTTGCTTCAGAGCATACCCAGCTGTCAGCAACAACTCCCCTTACACTTCATTTCATCCAAGCACCACTTTAATTAGCTCATGAATAACTGAGCTTCAATTAAGTACAGTAAGAAAGAGTTAGTCCCCTAGTAAACAAGTCACTTTTGGTTATGTTAGCCAAGACCATCCAGTTGCTTTGTTCATTGGACCTAATATATTTTGTTGCTAAGTGGGTTTTGGTTGGTGGTTTCATTTTTTCTCCTGAGACCAAGTGCAGCCAAATTCCTTTTGGAGATACAACTAAACCTCCCACTCCTTCAAAATGTGTATACACTGCATATTATAAAAAGACTAAATTGCATTAAGAGGAGCATCTCCTGCAATTACGACCAGCAAATATTTAAGAATAAAGCAGCTTATCCCTCAAAAATGACTAGACAGCTTTGGGAATTTTAGTTTTCCAAGAAAACTGGAATGCTTCCACCCCTTACAGATCATAAGGCATGCACAAATCAAATTACCACTGAACAATCTGTCTTATCTCATAAAAGTATTTCACAACTTACTGGGGAATAATCCCACTGACATTTTCCTCTTTCCCTCCCTGCTAGTCCAGTTACATGACTGTCACGAACCACATCAGGGAGCTCATCCAAATTAACAACCATTTAAAAAAATCTTATTTTTAATCTGGATCACTTCCCTGATCTGTCTCATCATGCAACTGAACACAAATTTTACCAGAGCAACAGGAGGAGATAAATGCCAGTGTGGGATGAGTTACCAGGCCTCCTCACACTGCCTGGGTTGTTTATAAATGCTTCTGAAACTAACGGAAACAGTTTGGTGAAACCCAACATATTTCCAAAGAACTGCTGCTGACAGAAGAGACTGTGATCATGTATCTGTATCTGTAACAGCACATTCTCTGTATCTGTAAGAGTCCAGCTTGCCAAAGTTATTTTAACTTGAGAACAATTTTAGTCTCTGGTCTGACTTGTAATATGCAGGGTTTTTGCAGAGACTGATTATTAATTCTGATGTATTTTTCCCCTCAAGAAAACTAATAATGCATTAAAAACAAAGAAGGAAGACCTCCTTCCTCTTTTTTTTTTTTTTTAAACACTGTGTTTTCTAAATAAGGAGAACAGTTCTCTAATAAAATATATCAGACAAACTGGATTTCAAACACTTACCAGAATTAAAGACCTGCAATGAAAGTGTGATTCTTGAACTTCAAGTAGATGACATTTATAGCTAACCACTACAATCATGGCAATTTATATTACAGTAATTTAAGCAGGGCTGAGAATATACTAACACACATTTTTTACTCAAGTGTTTGATAAGTTACTTCCTGTAATGATCCAGCTTCTTTCAACTATTCCATAAGTAAGGTTATGAACCAGCTGTTTGTTAACTATAGATGTGACTTACAGGCATAGCTGCTGGCTGAAGTTTGACAGGCTTAAGAAACCATTGCTTGTACTACCACAAACAAGGAAACGACCAATTGCTACAAAAGGACGGCAACCGTGAGCAATACTGTGACTAAAAAGCACAATGCAGCAGTGGATTTAATGCATGCACGTTCATCACCCTTGTTAAAATGTAATTAGGCCTCTCGCGAAAAGTAGTTAAGATTTTGAGTTACAAGCTCCCAACGAGAGGCCGCCAAGTTCACAACTAACTACATCACCACCACGGACCGCGAAGTCCCCCTCCCCCAACAACCAACCCCCGGACGGTAACTTCCCCTCCCTCACAGCCGGAGTCAACCCAACCATTTTTGCGCCCAGACCGACGCCGGGGAGCCCCCACGGCCTGTCACACCACCACCCCCCTCCCCAATACCCGCCCCGGAGCCGGGGACCGCGGCCCCCCCACCCCCGCCGGCGGGACCGGCCGGTGCCCGCCGCTTCCCCCCTCAGGAGCGGGGCCGGGCAAGGGCGCTGCCGGGGACAGCGCACGCCGGGAGAGAAAGTCTGAGACGAGCAGCGGGGTGCTGATTTATTTGAGGCGAAGGGCACCGGAGCCCGCCCTTCCCAACGCTTGGCCGACAACTTTTTACCCCCCGAGAGGCGAGGCGTCGCCCCAGCCCGGGCTGACCCTGCTCCCCGCTCTCACTGAGGGAACGCAACGAACCGCGCAACGGGCAGCGGCGGCGCGGCAGCTCCCTCCTCCCCCCAGAGCGACCCGTCCCCGGGCCGCCGCGGGCCTCGCACGGGCACCCCCGCTCGCCCGGCGGGGACCGCCACGGGTGGACGGTGGGGAAAAAAAGAAAAGAAAGAACGCCCTCCTCGGGGTCCGTCCCCCGTCGGGGTCCCGCACCACTCACCGCGCTGAGGCGGATGCCGCCCTGTGTTTTCGCCGCCATCTTTTGTGCCGCAGCGAGCGCCGGAGCGGGGAGCGCCCAGCGCCCGCACTTCCGCCTCGCCCCCTCCCCGCGCGCTTCCGGCGCCAAACGCGCCCCGCTCCCGTTGCGCGGGTGGGGGGCGGGGCAGGGCCTCGGCGCCGGGGCCACGCCCCCCCCCCTCCCACCGGCGGCGCGCGGGGGCGGCCGTTACGGGAAGGCCGGTGGACCCCGCGCCCCCGGGGCAACGGCCGCGGGTGTTCGCTGTCAGCGCCAAACCGGAACGGCGCGGCCCCGCCGTTGTTTCGGCAGGCGGTCGGGAGTGCTTCAGTGGTGCCGGCTGCTGCCCTACGGTGTTTCCCAGCGCGGGTGCGGCAGCTAGCCGAGGTTTTCAACGGAGGCGGTGCCGCCGAGCCTGAGCAGCTGCTGAGGTGCAGCCGCACAACGGTACAAAAGATGTACAGACCGCGGGTGAAAAAGGTATGAAAAGAGGTTTTCACAAAGTCATGGAAACTTCAGGTCGAAGCAATCCTAAGCACAGATGCAGGCTGGGCGATGAGTGGATTGAGAGCAGCCCTGCGGAGAAGGACTTGGCGGGGTTAGTGGATGGAAAACCGACTATGAGCCAGCAATGTGCACTCACAGCCCAGGAAGCCAGCCGTGTCCTGGGCTGCATCCAGAGCAGTGTGGCCAGCAGGTCGAGGGAGGGGATTCTTCCCCTCTCCTCCGCTCTCATGAGACCCCCCTGCAGTGCTGTGTCCAGCTCTGGGGCCCCCGACATCAGAAGGACACGGACCTGCTCAAGTGGGTCCAGAGGAGGGTCACAAAGATGATCAGGGGGCTGGAGCACCTCCTGTACACGGACAGGCTGAGAGAGTTGGGGGTGTTCAGCCTGGAGAAGAGAAGGCTCTGGGCAGACCTTATAGTGGCCTTCCAGTACTGAAAGGGGGCTACAGGAAAGGTGGGGAGGCACCCTTGATCAGGGAATGTAGTGATAGGATGAGGGGTAACGGTTTTAAACTGAAAGTAGATTTAGATTAGATGTAAGCAAGACATTCTTCACTGTGCGGGTGGTGAGGCACTGGCACAGGTTGCCCAGAGAAGCTGTGGCTGCCCCCTCCCTGGAAAGGTTCAAGGCCAGGTTGGACGGGGCTTGGAGCAACCTGGTCTAGCAGAAGGTGTCCCTGCCCGTGGCACAGGGGTTGGAACCAGGTGATCTTTAGGGTCTGTGTGAGCCGACACAGGAAGAACCACAATACCATGAATGAAAAGCAAAGAATAAATTTATTCTCGTTACCTTGCAACCCAGGGGATCTCCGCAGTAGCTAGTACCTGGGCAAAGACATGCAAGGGGGGACACAGGCACCACGGAGAAGAAAGAAAATATCTCGAATCTGCAGCTTTTGCTTAGATTTATCAGTGATTTTCACAGGCATTGTTTTCCACTGTGCTTTGATCTTTCCCACAGCAGGCCAGGAATTTCAAGGATGTTTGGTAAGATGCCTCAGAGTCTATCACAGGCCTTTGCTATCTGAACACATACATTCTACCCATCAAGGACACAAAGCTAAACAACAATTAGTATGATATATGTGTTTTTTGACACCTCAGCTGCAAGTCACTTGAGCGTGTTTACAATCCTCCTTGCCAACCTTCTGTTGTATTTGCCCAAGGTCCCTGCCAGCTCAAGCCATTCTATAATCCTGTGAAGCCATGCTCCTCTGGCCTTAGGTGCTCAAGCTCAGTTGTATGGAGGAGTTTTCTTCCTTCCAACTGAAAAGGCAGTACTTTCAGGGCATTTGTCCTAAATGTAAAAATGTACAGACTGAAGTTTGGAAAGCTCTGGCATGCAGAGGAAGCATTATGCAACAGCAGTCCCCAATTTCCTGGGGAGAGATGTTCCCTTCATAAAAGGGTCAGTGCCTGTCGGTCCATCAATGATCCCTCGATGCTGCAGCAGCAGTTTCTTCCGTCTGCCTCTTGTGTCTGGAAGACCAGACACATAAATCCAGAAAACTTGTCCCAAGACCATAGGACTGGGATCTCAGTGTGGAAAGTTCAGGAATGGGAAAGATAGGGACATCAGAGCTGGAGCAGCAGGGGCTTGTGAGGAGAGGGTTAGGGAGGCGGTGGCACAGTCGTTCCCTAGGCAGGTATAGGGGCTAGCACTGACTAGAACTGAGCCGCTGCTGCTAGGATCCAGACTGAGGTTTGTAGAGTTCTGTACAGAGCCCTCATTCATTGAAATTGAATTTGAGAGCTTTTACAGAATCAGAGAAAAATTAAAGTTGGCGAGTGTCGTGGTTTGAGCCTGGTTGGCAGCCAAACACCAAGCAGCCACTCTCTTCCCCTTCTATTCCGGAAACGAGAAGGGACAGATGAGCCAGGCTTGGGATTCGAGATAGGACCAGGAGGGGTAGATCACCCATTATGGTCATGAGCAAAAGAGACTCGTTAGGGGAAGAAAAAAAAAGAACAAACATTTATTACAGACACTAACAGCACCAGTGAGAAGCATTGCCACATCCTGGTAACACCTTCCGCCCCGTTCCTGCCTTCTCCCCGGGCTCAGCTCTGCTCCTGATATCTCTACCTCCTCCCCAGAGCGGTGCAGGGGGCAGGGAATGGGGGGGTGCAGTCAGTGCTGCCGCTTCTTCCATCTTCAGTGGGGGGAGCTTCTGGAACTTGTTCTCCCTGTTCCATTGTGGTCACAGGAGACAGTCCTCCACAAACTTCTTCCGACATGAGTCCCTCCCACGGGCTGCACCCGTTCCCCACACTGCTCTGATGTGGGTCACCAACTTTCTCCAACTGGAGTCCCTCCCACAGGCTGCAGCCCTTCCTGAGCTGCTCCAGCGTGGGACATCCCCACATGCTGCAACCCTCCCAGCGCTGGACTACAGCACTAGGGCTACCTCTTCCCACAAGACCCCAGCCTTCTTCAAGCACAGCACCTTGATCAACCAGGCGAAAAACACAGGCTGTAAATCAGTGTCTGATCCACTGTGGATCTTCATAGGTGGTGGGGGGGGCTGCCCTGCCGTCTCACCACAGGATACAGGGGGTTCTCTGCTCTGGCACACCTCCCCCTTCCTTTCTTCCTCCGTTCCTCCACTGACCTTGGTCTTCACACAGCTGCCACAACTCCTCACCACGTCCCTTCTTAAATATGTTATGGCAGAGGCGCAGCTGATTGGCTCAGTTTTGGTGCAGAGGTGGAGCTGACTTGGAGCTGGGGGAGCTTTGAGAAACTTCTCACAGGGGGCCACCCCTATAGCCCCCTCCCCTGCTACCAAAAAACCCCACCACTCACTCAACCCAGGACAGCGAGTGAGCAGTAAAGGCAGTCTGAAAAATGATAACTGCATTTTAAAAGGTATTTCAAAATAACGTTTAATATCATTAGAAGAATTGCATTCAAATATAGTATGGAATATACTTAATCATTAGATAATGCTCCATATTTCAAGTTCTGCTGTTCTTTGGCAATTACCTTTAGTTTATCAGGAAAACTAAATATTTTTGAATATTTAAATATGTCTCCCTCTGTGTATCATGCACTGTGGCTATGCTATCTCAAAGCTGATGTATCCAAAAGAGAAAACAAGCTTGGTTATTCTGAAAACAAGCAAAGAACTATACAGCAAAGCAAAAGCGCTTTCTCTCCTATTCTTGATACTGAGTTCTAGGAAAAAGTTTTTCAGATTAATCTACAGTTAACTCACTCTGCTTTGTCAGTAGCAGTGTTAGAACAATACAACCCTCCTTCATGTGGATTTAACAGCAGCAGCAGTTAGTCCCATACAGAAAAGGAATATAGTTACACTGCTGGAGATACCATTAGGGCTATGTAACTGTGCCCCTCCACCACCCAAGTAGGACTTCTTTTAGAGGCCTTTTCTCCTTATTCACATGCTATTTATAATGATACTGCTTATCTGCTTATATACTAAATTGTGAAGAACTTTCTTCTTCTTAGGAATTAGATTCTGCTGCAGTGAAAGTATTCTGCAAGTCATAAATATCAGAGGCCATTTCAAGCAGCCATCTGCAGAACCACAGGACAAAGGTAAACATACGTATGAAAGTCAGGAGTTAGAAGCAAGCGGTATTTTTGTAGAAGGTAAGATCACCTTAGAAATTAGAGAGTTATACAGATCTAAGTCACAGATTCTGTTTTTAAAGTTCACCACAGCTGGGGAGGAAGCGACTGATGTCCAATCCCCTGCACACGAGAAGTACAGGCAGCCAGAACGGGACATATCTTTTTTCAAGGGGAAGGATGACAAAACCCTTAATCTAAATAACTGGTTCACCACCTCCAGTTAGTGATCAACCTAGGTAAAGACACAGGTTTATAGCTTATGGGAAAAAGTAAAACAAAGTTTGATGGTGAAAAGTTGTCTTAGATTTTAATAGCCCATATGATAGCACATCATCAGGATTTTAAGGGAAATACCCAAGTATGGAATGCAACCACCAGAAAACTGAAAGTAAAACTACCAAATCATCCTGACTATTAGCAATACTCTCTTTAAAAATTACTGAGGTTATGTAAGTAATGAACACAAACATTTAAAAAATATCCTGTTTCAGTTTTCAAGTAATGCTTTAAAAGGATAACTTTGCACTTGTGCTCATCCCAATAGCACTAGAGATCATTAATAATTTATATTAATACAAATAATTCTTAGTGACTACCCAATATTACACTTGGTTATATGTTGCTATGATGGTGCGTATCTGCTGGCCATCAGAACCATCCTTCAGACACGCAACTGTGTGGTTTGGCAGTAGAACTAATCCCTGTCTCCCACTTCCTGGGCGGTGGTAGCAGTGCTGTTCTGAAATAAGCTGCATCTTGAACATTACTGTAGTCATGGCACTGTGATGATCTCCCTACCTCTTTTAACACTTAGGAATAGCCAAATACATTATTTTCTATAAAAAGTGTTCTTTAAAAAAAGGATTTTATTTTAATTAGGCTGTTGGTATACAGCAATTTGTATTTTTACAGAATTATCTTCATTTAGTTGCATCTCAGAAGTTGCAAAATGACCTTAGTCACTGGAAGAACAAGGTTTTTTAATTTAAAAAACTGAATTAGAACATATTTAGTCAAGTAATTAAAATAAAAACCCATCAAGTAATGTAAATTACAAAATGTTAGTGCATAGGTTTGTCTTTTATGCATGTTTGTCTTTTATTTATGAATCACTAATCCTGAAGAATGCTATTATAGTACAGAGTTGAAATTACAAACATGGTAAGTCTGCAGTTATTTGCACAATGCTAAGTCTTATAAAATACATCTGTTTGAAATTCAGGTGATTTGTATAGACGTTGGTAAGTTTTAGGACAAGTTAAAGAAAGAAGTAGAGGCGGCGTTTAACCTCAGGAAATGGCTTATCTGCAATCTGATTGTATTCTGACATGCAATATTAGCTTTTTCTTAAATTTATTTTCAGAACATAGTTCCAAAAGCAGATTAAAATACTTACGTGAGAAGTTACTGGATAAATGGTACAGTTGCTACTGTCACCAAGTCAAAAATATTCTTCATTTATTTACAAAATCTCTTTAATCCTTCACATTGAAAACAAGTAAAAGAATACAGTAGCTATGATAAATTACCACTAAACTGTACTACTTTTTTTCCCCACAGGAACTGAAGAGTCCTGCTTTTCAACTCCAACTCGGAAACCTGGATCACTGAAGAGCACTTCATAACCGCAGAAAGAAAATGTAAAATGTAGTTTCAAAACTGGGGAAAAAAAAAAAGAGGAGAATTGCAGTTAAAGTTTTCCCTTTTTTTGCTACTTATTCACCATGAGCCAAGTGTCTGATGTGTGGCTTAGCTTTCCATGTTTTCTAGGAAGTCACATTCAACACTCTCTTCAAGCTGTTGCAAGATCTTTATGCCATTACTGCCAACATAGTCCACAGAGAGAGATGCAGAAGTATGTGAATTCTGGGATTCGCTCCCACTTGTTGTAAATGCGCAACACAGAGTCTTGAAGAAGGGCATAAGCTGGGTGATGCTAGATATGGAGCGGAAGTTCAAGAGAGGAAATCTGTGCTTCTTGGGAAATTCCCCAGTGTTGTTTGTTTCCTGTAAACAAACAAACCATGATTTACTAAAGGTTTTGCATCAAGACACAATGTTGTCAGGGCTTGTCTGAACCCTGTACCACACACTTTTCATACTAAGAGATCCACAGCCTACAACTGTAGCACAATATAAGTGGTATAGATGGCATACTGAGTTACTCCTGTATTTGGATTCGAGGTTCCATTAAATGAAAGTCTCACAAGTTCAGAAGACTGCAAATTTGGGCTAGCCTTCAGAATTAGATAGCAAGCAACAACAGAATACAGAGATATCTCTGAGAAATACTAACACCCCTATTTCCTTTTCTGGAAGAATTAATATGAAACCTTGATTGTAATTTAAAATACTATCATGCTAAACTTTTTTGACAAAGTACAGCATGCACTTTTTTATAAATACTGGTCTTGTCTGAGACAAACTGTTTTCACTGGGTGGTTGTAGCCAGATTTAAGGGATCAATAAGAAAACTGCCTATGGTTCCCCACACCCAAAAGCAATCTGACACCTTCAAGATATATACGCGAAAGCAGCAGATCATTACTAGAAGCCTCCTGAATTTTATTAGAATATCTAAAAACCTCTTGCCTAACTTAGTATCTTGTCACTTGTTTAGAAAAATAAGTTAATGGATTAAAAAAAGAAAAAGATTCAAGTGAAGCATTCTTTCTTTACCCTGTATTTCATCTTCAGCAGATCCATGATTCTTATAATGTGTGGTCTGCATTCCTGATGATTTTCTATCAGATGAGAGGTCACAGTAGATGACTCTGTGTCCACCTCTGGGACAAATGCCCATTTGTACCTGAAACAAATGGACTACTTAAGAAAACAAGCAGGAAAAACTCCTTGTTTGGATCATACATAGTTTAGTAGAGCACCTGTTTGTTCACAGAAAGAGCTGTCATAACTACAATTTTATGCTATTGCCAGAGCCAAACTTAATGAAGGATATTACTATCATGTCAGCATTTATTTGCATCTGGCTCCAAAAAAATCCCAAGTGTGTGCAAAGGGAAAATAAAGAACAGTTGCCATCTTCATCTTCTTCCAGTTTTTCCAGGTTAGAGAACCTCCCAATGAGGTGAAATCTCCCTATACTGACAAATACCTCGAATTATATTTGTCTGAGTATCAACATCTGCACTTGTAAAAAGAACTGAAGGCAAAATTAAGTCTAGAATAAATTAGATCTGGAATTACTTTAAAGGATAAGAATGGTAACAACCTGGCGAACAGGTAAGTAATTAGAGGACTTACATTTGAAACAACTGCATCCTATCAGGTGGAAATGAAAGTGCCGTGTCCAAAAACTTGCAAGCTGATAAGTACAAGGAAAGCTCATTTTGTTGTATGTCAGATCCACTGCCATCACCTGAGACTTTCTGTTTGCTTATTTTGCTGTTGCTCCTGTGTTAGTTAAAATTAAGAAATGTACCATTAAAACATAAATCCACTAAATGTTTGTCACTCAGCAAGAGAAATGTACACATTTACACAACTGAGCACTTGCACTTATGCACATGAAAACCTATTTTTATTCTGTATGAGTACTGTGATCAATATAAAAAGCTGTTAGAAGAAAAAGTAATCTAAAATATTTTTTAAAAATTGCAATGTGTTAAAATATTCAAATGCTGACTTAGCATCTCTTCCTATTTTTGTATGCAACTAAGTGGTAGTTATGTTTTTTGAACACATTGCTATTTTAGCTGCTGAAAAAAAATCCTAAACTATGCATTAATCAGTACCAAAAAATACACAAGTCTAATAAAAAAATCCTGTTGTCTCCTCCCTATCCCAGAGAATTAAATAAAAATTTGCACATAGAGAACAAGCACAATTGTTACCAGGTTCCATGAGTTCTCTATCAGACAAATGGCAATTCTTACTTTGATGGTTCATCTTCTTCATTTAAATCTTCTTCCAGCTGTAGAAATGTCTGAATCTTTAAAAAAATAAATTATTTTTGGAGATGCTGAAACATTCATATGACCTAATCTCAAAAAAGGTATGTTCACATAGTATAAGGAACCATAGACTCTTAGTTTACTCTCACGACTTGCAACAAATTAACAAATCATGCAAGAGATTACAAAAACTATGAAAACATTTCCTTTTTTCAAACAAGGGGTGTATTTGGGAGGAAGGAATAGGTGAAAAGGAAAAAAAACACACACTAATTAGTTTCAAATTACTACTTATTCCTTACCAATTCAGTTACCATAATTGGCCACAATGAGGTTAGATGCTGAGGAGAAATCCTTAACAAAAGAACTCTGAAGAAGAGAAACATCTGGGCGGCAACTATAGAAGTCTGCCCCACACGGAGGTTCTCAGTCAGTCGTTCTGAAGTAAATATTAAAAAGGTAAAAAACCAACTAAACAAAAAAGAGTAGTATTTTCCTAAACATGTGCTGTTCTGAAAAATAAAAAATGTAGAAGGTGGCAAAAGAGAATTTGTGCTTTATCATCAGTTTTGGGTTAAGTCCCCTGCACTCTCTATTAACAAAACTGTGATTCAGAGAGTCTGTAGACATGGCGGTTTTATATTGGACAAAATTTTGTCAAGACTGGCATTTAAGGAGAACAACAACAGCCCAAGAGTGGCTGGAAGACTGCCACAAAATAATCATGTTTCCAGTTATATTTCCAGACCAAAGGCTTTGGAACCCAGATTCCGTCTCCCTCTTAAAGAGATGATTTCTTTGTTAGAATTCAGAGATTCACAGCATCATAAATTCTGTTTAAAACTTTTAAAAAATGAAAGTACATGTTGGAAAATAGGTGACATTCCTTTCTTACACAGTTTATACATGTTACAGCTGAAAAAAATATCAAAACAGGTGAAATTACAAATCTTACCTTGTATTAAGGGAAGATAGAGATGATACTGATCAATCTCTCCACTAAAGACAGCAAAAGCTTGCCGCTTTAACAACATTGCTTTTTGCTCAAAGCTTGGGTACAGTTTTAAGGCGCTGCTCTGCATATCTATAACAGAGATAAGAATTATCTACCCTATAAAGACTTGTGCTTTGGGCTGAAAATAATTCCTATGTCCTGAAATATTCTGAAAAGAAAAACTCTCTTTGAGTCTAACTAATTGGAATAATAAATTGGTGTTGATCTGGATCTGCTCACACTAGCAGGAAAATTATATGAAACAAGCATTGCAGCTCCAATGAGGCTGTCCAGTATTTTAAACCTGTCTCTGCCCTAACATATATCAATCTTCCCCTCTTTTCAATCTCCTAAATCCATAGATGAGTAATCTCAGAGCTTCAAGACTTACTGAGAAAAAAAGGAAATAAGTTTAAAAATACATATTGTTAAAAAAAAGTGTATTAAGAATTAGTCTTGAACTGTAACCCTTCAAATATTATTTAAAATTATCTGAAAAAGAGACTAAAGCTTCCTTTTTCTTTTGAAGCTCCATGCAAATTCAGGGGGTTTTATCCTACCCCTTCCCCCACTTTCTTCTACCCTGTCCCTCAAGCCTGAATTAGAGGTCAAAACACATTTGCTCAAAGGTTTGCTGTACAGGTGCATCACATTCCTACAGCTTGATGCCAATATACAGACACCTGCAAAGTTAGCCAAAGTCTCATTGCTTTCTAACAGGGAACAGCTGCAAAAGGTCACAATTCAGCAACTCAAAATTATAGCAAAATGTGAATGCAGGAGTCCAACATTAGCATTTCTAGAACAAAAATACTTACGGGATGTTTTAGACATGACCAAAATACAGAATTAACTTAGCACAGCTTTTAGCTGTGAATAAAGTTGGCAACATAATTAGGCAAATGCATTGTCTGCATTTTATTGGTCTTTAGTATAATAAAAATGCACCCAATAGCTCAAATGCAAACAGATTTCAAATTAATGTAGAAATATGCTATCAGTAGCTGATACTTACTCATCAAATCTTTAAACATAGTTTTCTCATGTGTTAGAAGATGATCGATAATGGATCTCCAGCTGAATAAGATACAGAAGGAATTAGAAAACCAGAGAATGCTCTGGTATAGATTCACCTCAGAAAAGATTTTGGTCAAACGTTTCATACAAGGAAACAGTTTCCAAACAGTATTCAATATGCAGACTCTTATCTGGTTTAACACATACTGCATCCTAGGTCTTCCAGCTCTACTGTATGCAGCTCCCTAATCACTAAGGGAAGTACCAGCATGAGACAAGTTTATTCTTCTGCAGCATAATGAAAACTTAAGTGCTTATAATGCATTTATCAGAATTAGTTGTTGAGACTCATTTTTAACATTATTACGTTCTGTAAGAAAGTGCAAACCAGAATTTTCTTTCCAGTATTAGCCATTCTCCTTTAAAGCCTTTCTTTGCAAACTCAGAATAGAATCTTGGAATGCTGCAATCTCATGTCTTACTGAGTGCATGAAGTGTCCATCTGGAAGAAAGCTGGATCCATATACAACTCAACAACTTCTTTTTTCCAGGCTCGCTTTGTATAGGCATATCCACTCAATGAGCTGAGCAACTGAGCACCAGCACGAAAACTAGGAATGTTGTAGGCACTGGGGGAAGAGAACAATAATGATAAATTTATCTATTTTTTGAAGTGGACTTTATGTAATCAGAAAATAAACTCCTAACTTCTAACCAC